ACTACTACTACAACTACTACTACAACTACCACTACAACTACTACTACTACGACCGCCTACTACTACTACTACTACTACTACTACTACTACGACTACTACTACTACTACTACTACGGCTACTACTACTTGTGTTCTCCCGTGTATCTACACTTGCCGGTCCAGGTAGTCACTTATGGCCCAGAACCTGCGAACCTAGAGTCCTCAACAAAGCAGACAAGCAGCTCCGATAGGGAATTCCACAGTTTTGAAAATACTCATACAATGCGTTGAATATTTGACCACGACGTCCAAGCTGAGGGATGCTCTCGGTCTTTGTTAGGAGCGAAGCATTGCGGGGTTGGGGTCAGCGACCCCCCGAACTGCTTTGAGTCCACACGGAGTCGTTGGAGTGAAACGGCCGGCAGACCATCTGCTGTAGCACTGGAAACCGGTCGACTACGTTGCATATGCTACCGCAATGCTTGCTTATTGATGAAAGTGACGGAAGCTGCAGGCGAAACCAAGTACACAAATGTGCTGAGACTTGACTTGCGACTTGCGATGCCCGTCCTAACGTCAGCCGCACCCGTCTGGAAATTCATGCGAGCGTCTCCTGCCCGCAAGGGGAGTCCACGGAGCATGGCTCGGGCAGCTCTGCGATCGTGACTTGTGCAGTGCGAACTTACGCCCACCGGCCTCTGCATTGTTCGGCATTGCCGAAACCCGTGGTATGGTTTCAAGCCTCCAACTGTACCGGCTGGTCAGGCATGTCGGGCTGAGGTTCAGGGGCTAATCTGGCTAGTATCGCCTCAGATAGTTCTAAGTACTGTGCATCCGATATAGTTGTACTTCAACATTATACTGTAACATACCCCTACAGGGCCCTACAGTCCAGATCTAATTGAACTTCAATATACCCGAAGACAAGCTCAGCTTGCAGGCGTGGCCTTGTATCCGGGTGGGCCTGCTCGCAGCATCCCAGCCTCGCTCGTGAAACCCCTTGCGCCCCAACCCTAATCGTCCTAAAACAGTATAGTATGTTACAGTATATTGTTTGTACATGATGGCATGTTTTAGTGCACTGCAACATATTGTAGTATATCCTCAATCCTAATACCAAAATTCCATATATCCGTCTCCCTTAACCCGAAATCCTAAATCCTGAAATAAGGCTCCTGCCAACACTCAACCTTGAGCCTTGAGCGTTTCTCCATGGGCAATCTCTGGCTTCTCACGGAAAGGTTTCAGAGGGGCGGGGTAACCTCCGCAGCGGGTTCTCCCAAACCCTGAACCCGAAACCCTGAACCCTAA